CCAAAAAAAAAAAAAAAAGAATTTGATTCAGAGCATATCCCCGTCTCCTTAAAACCTTTCCTGATCGTGTACGAGCCAGCTGTCGTGAATAGCATGGTCGTTCTGATAGTAGTGGAGTAGAGTAGTCCAGCCTGTACGCTCGTGCATGATTTATAGTCCTTCCTATATTCAAATACCGGCGCACAGGTACCGACCAGATCTGGGCGCGGAAATTGTTATAGCAGGCTTGGAAAGAATTACTATTGAGAAAAAGCTATCATCAGGCCGTATCGCTCCTGTAATTTGAAATGTATACCTTTCTCGGCCCGTTTTTTTAAACAAAATTTCAGCTATGTTAAAGAAATTTATTACATATTATGTATTGAACCCCATAATCGCACTTAATCTTTTGGCTAAGATCAAGAAGTGTAGTCTCTGTTCTGATCAGTTTAATATCTGGGCCACGGAGGTGTCGTACGGGTAAGCTTGCTTACCCGACCCCTCTAGTGTTGCTTCTGTATTGCATTGCAGCAGAGTGCGGCGCAGCCCTTTCCCCTCCAGGGGGGGGGGGGGGGGGAGAGGGAAAAAAAAAAAAGAAAAAAGAAATGTGTGCGGTAGTACCTGCTTGGTTGGTAGTACCTAGGATTTTTCCGTATTTCCAGGCTGGACTCAGTAGTCAGTTACGAGCCAAGCATTGTGGGGCAACAATTTGAAATTTGCCCCCGTCGTAGGGAAATTCCCAGTCGTCTTCTACTGGCTACCAGTACCCGCCCTACTTCAGGCCATCTGCAGGCGGGAAAAAGATTCTACGCATCAACGACGGGGGCAAATTTCAAATTGTCGTGACACAATGCTTTTAAATATGGAGATGGTCAGCGGACAGCAGCGGCGGTGGGTTGGTGGAACGTTGGAAATGACGAGGGAGATGTGAGGACCCCGCAAACGATTTCGGTCAAAAGGAAACGCCCAAATTGCGGCCAGGAACGTCAACGTTAAATGCCCACCAAAGGTCATACTTACTTCTTTGACCAGGTAAGTTAGATGCATACTGCCGCTATTTGGACCGGGTAAGTAATACTAATACCGATGTCTATCCCGTTCTGTCGTAATGCCCGAAATTGTCATATTTGGCCATTTCCTCTCCTGTCGTTTTTTTCCCCCCCCAAGAGTCGTCAGTTTCCGATTTCTCTCCCTCTTCTCTCCCTCTTCCTCCTCTTCCGCCCTCTGTCTGCCCTTTCTGCAAACGAGGGGGGGGGTAGGGGGGGGGTAATCGTCTCCTTCATATCCGTAATCTGTTCGTAAAACATTTGCAGGAAGCCCGGAGAGATCCTCCTGCTCGGAACTGCCGTCTTCCCCCAAACATAACGCACCCTGATTAGTATTATGAATGTATACAAGCTATATTTCCAGCCAGGTACATGCGAAATGAGGGTGCGCTATGTTCGGGGGAAGACGGCGGTTTTGCTTGCTGCCCTTTACCGTGTCTGATCAGTTTTCGATTTCTCCCCCTTTTCCTCCTCTTCCCTCTGCCTGCCCCCTCCTGCAACCTTGGTGGGGTAGGGGGGGGGGAGGGGATAATCGTCTCCTTCATATCCGTAATTTGTTCGTAAAGCATTTGCAGAAAGCCCAGAGCTTCTGCTCCTCCTCCGAACTGTTTTTTTTCTTGCTGCCCTTGTCGGTTTTTTTTTTTTTTTTTTCTGTTGTTCAACCTCCTCCGACATTATGAGTTCCGATGTCCTTCTCCAAAAAAAAAAAGAAAAAAAAAGAAAAAGAAAAAAGAAAAAAAGAAAAAGAAAACCGATGCCCTCCTCGTCGGAGCTTAATCTTGGTGTCCACCGTCAGAGTCGTCGCTGGCCTTAGAAGAAGAAGTTTTTTTTTTTTTTTTTGGATCAGATATTACTGTAGTTTGATCAGAATTGAATTCCATTTTGGTGATAAATAAATTGGTAATAAAGATCGAAGGGAACGATGCACGGATCACGTAGAAGAGGAGGAGATCGAACGGAGAGGAGAAGAGAAAGCACGCACGCACGTAGCGCGGAATAGCGGTGATGTTCATCGAAGTGAACGATGCACGAATAAAGGTGATATACATCGAACTATGGGACGAATAACGGGGAGTGCACAATGGGGACAGATCGACCGATCGACCGATCGACCGATCGACCGATCGAACGATTGGACGGATCATGCAGCGACAAAATACACGTCTTTTTTTTTTTTAATTCGAAAAGAAAACGTCATCCTTTATTAAACTATTGATGACAGGGGGAGGCCGGGAATCTCTCGACAACTGAGACCCCTCCGTTCTGAGAAAAAAACAATGCCCTAAAGGCCTGCAAAGCCACACAGACGCAAAAAAAATACAAATTTTTGTTTTGACAGGAGAGGAGAAAAGCATGCACGTAGCGCGGAATAACGGTGATGTGTAAGTCGGAGTGAAGGGGGGACGAATAACGGTGATATACATCGAGAGCAGGTAGAGCAGGGGAGTGAACACGCTTGCTGAGCTAGCTTGTCGTATGCCATAAGCGCCGTCTTTGCGAAGAAGATGTGACTTGTGTCGCTCAGTGGGGGAAGACAAGCCTTTTTGATGTTATGATCGACGATGCACAAGTTCTTCTCTTTTCACCAAACGAAATCGAAATTATGCGTAAATCGGTTCTAGTTAGAATGAATGAATGCATAATTAATGCTTCTCATATTGGTATCTTGTTGTCCATCTTCTTCTTCTCTCTCTCTTGTCTCTTTCTCTTTCTCTCTCTCTCTCTCTCTCTCTCTCTCTCTCTCTCTCTCTCTCTCTCTCTCTCTGTCTTTGTCTTTCTCTCTCTGTCTGTCTTTCTCTCTCTCTCGCTCTCTCGCTTTCTCTCTCCCTCGCTCTCTTCCTGTCTCTTCCGCTCCCATCGATCCCACCTCTTTCGCTGTTCAAGCTCCATCTCTTTGTTTGCCTTTGTCTGCCTTGCTTGTCTGTCTCTTTTCCGTTGTGTTCCTCCCTCTCCCTCGTTCTCACCTCTTCTCTCTCTTAATATCCCGCTTCCTCTCTCTTTCTCTTGCTCTGTTGTTTTCGTCAGTTTCTCTGTCTCTCTCTCTGTTTTGTTTTCCTCTCTCTCTCTCTCTCTCGCGCGCGCGCGCGCGTTTGTTTCGTCAGTCTGTCTGTCTCTCTGTCTCTCTCTCTCTCTCTCTCTCGCTCTCGCTCGTTTGTTTCGTCAGTCTGTCTGTCTGTCTCTGTCTCTCTCTCTCTCTCTCTCTCTCTCTCTCTGTCTCTTGTGTGCTCTTTTGTTTTCCTCTCGCTCTGTGTGTCTCTCTGACTGCGTTTGCAGGTCAACGGAGGAAGGGGGGAGGTCAAGACTTGCGGATCGTCGACGGATTACAACGCTGAGGCCAGTCGTAGCAGCTCGATGTCGTTTGAGCTTTTTGAGAGGAAACCCGATCCCGATAGAGAGAGGGCGAGCGGGAAGGGAGGTGGAGGAGGGGTGGGTGGGTTGGGGAGGGCAGCAAGGTCCCTCACAAAGCCTTCGTTTGCTCAGTGATGCGCGCAGTTGGGTACTGCCTTTTCATCAGTGCGATTTGGCGGGAGAAGGAGGCGGCGTTTGGGCCCTTGGCGCCAACATGCTTTCTTTCCATATGAGCTTGGATTTGGCGGGAAAGATTTGTCGGATTGACAAGACCTTCGACCGCCAGCCATTTTAAATTTTCATTTCCATTTTTTTTAAAAATAAAATTCTTGGAGGGCGGTTTTGTTGTGTGTGTGTGGGGGGGGGGGGGGGGGGGGAATGTTTGATTACCTTCTCACCAAAGAATGGTCTTACTCACGTCCTCGAAACTTCATCATTGAGAGCTCGCCCTGAGCTTGCGGATTTTCATCACTTGGCCGCTTCCTTTGATTTTTAACCCCCCTCCTCCCCCTCCTCCCCCTCAGAAAATTCAAATTCGTTGGCCGCTTCGATTCGCCTCTGTAGCTTACGGGCTACTCATTCATATTCATTGATAAATTATTATATCGCGGTTAGTTCAACTAATTAAAAAAAAGATTATTTTTTTCCTTGGCGGGAAAGGGGGAAAAAAGAAAGAAGAGAGCGCTTTTTCATGCTCTCTTTGTTCGTTTTGTAGTTGAGTCGCTTGAACGAGTCGTTTGAGAGGAAGAACATGTCGTTGCACCCAAAGAAAAGGGGAAGAAATAACTTGAAGAAAAAAGTGGCCTGAGTCTGCAGTGAGGTCGTACATTGTGTGGTGCCTGCGTCGACGCCTGGGTTGGGTGTGTGTGACTGGGTACACCGGGTCGCGGGTCAAAACGAGTACCCGTGCTGGGCTGGGGTTAAGTGCTCATCTTGGGGCTCAACTTTCACCTCAGTCGACGTAGCCGTTTGGTTGAGTGTTTGCCTCTTGACCTGGAGGGCGTGTGTTTGATTCTTGGAGATCGGCACGAGAAGCGAGCGTTGGATTCAATTCAATTCAATTCTTCTTCGGCTTGGATTGAAATCGAGGGAAAACAGAGTTTGAGTCTTTGCGCGACGCGGACGATGACAATGTTTTTTTAAATGGTTTTTTATTAAAAAAATATTAAACTGCACTGCTTTGGTCGTTTGTTTTCTCCCTGGGCAGGAGAAGAGGTTGTAGCTCCTCGATCGACGGCCGAGAGAGCAAAGGGAGAGAACAAGAGTGGCACAATCGATCAAGTAATTAGTCGATCAATCAATCAATCAATCAATCAGCTTAGAGGATTATAATCATGATGGGACGACAACACGTGGCATTCATTCCTTGTGCAATAGATTTGCTGTAGATCGCAGCTGATAGCGGAGGGCTCACAATCGGGATCGCAATCGCGATCAAAATCATAGAGCCCCCTGCAGCCGCGATCCCATCTCACCTGCGGTTTCATGGCCCGCCTCTGCTTAATTGGTCGCACATCATCGCGTGTCGGCCTGCCACCGCGATCCCATCTATGCAACGTCACACCTTTATCTTCATCTGCTACGTAACGTGTCCGCGATTTGCGGCGCCCCGATCTTCCCTCTCCTCACTCTCCCGACGATCCTCTGTGCTTTGCTGCCGTAGCGTGCATCCTCTTCCTTGGCCAAGTGTCACACACACACACACACAGAGACAGACACAGAGAGAGAGAGAGAGAGAGAGAGAGAGAGAGAGAGAGAGAGAGAGAGAGAGAGAGAGAGAGA